TCTCTCTCTCTCTCTCTCTCTCTCTCTCTCTCGCTCTCTCTCTCTCTCTCTCTCTCTCTCTCTCTCTCCTCTCTCTCTCTCTCTCTCCTCCCTCCCTCCCTCTGAGTAACCCTTTAACTCGTCCTCCCAACTAGACTCATCCGCGATGGCATTGCCCTCCCCTTCACGGCGCACGCCACGTCACCCACAGTCACCATGCCGCGGCTGAAGGCCATCACCACGGGGTCGATCCCTTCTTTCCTGGATGTCGTCCTCAACCTGGACGAGACAGATGAGTCGTCCAGTCTGGCCAACCAGGATACCTGGCTGGCCCAGATGCGCGCCAGACGTCCCGGAAAGCTGGTCATGTATGGCGATGATACATGGCTGAAGTTGTTTCCGGGCGTGTTTGATCGCGCGGATGGGACGAGTAGCTTTTTCGTGTCGGTAGGTTGCTTGTATGAGGGTGTCAGGGGTTAAGGCAAATGCTGATGAGTACAGGACTTCACCGAGGTGGACAATAATGTCACCCGGCATATCGCCGACGAGTTGAAGAGGGATGACTGGAATACTATGATCCTGCACTACCTTGGCCTGGACCATATTGGTCACAAGGGCGGCCCTAGAAGGTTGGTAGTCCAAAAAAAAAAAGCTCATGGAGAATTAAAGAAAAAAAAGGACTAAATATCTAACATTCCCCCAGTCCACACATGCTCCCCAAGCAGCGTGAAATGGATGCCGTCATAAAGCAGATCTACACAGCCATCGAGTCGGAGGACCATCTCCAATCGACCCTCTTCATTGTCTGTGGCGACCACGGCATGAATGATGCCGGCAACCATGGCGCTTCGTCTGCTGGTGAAACATCCCCAGCCCTGGTCTTCATCTCTCCCAAGCTCAGGACGCTCAAGCAGGATGACCGGCAGTCCCCGTTGCCGGAGAATGAGGACTTCCAGTTCTACAGTACCGTTGAGCAGTCGGATCTGGCGCCGACGTTGAGTGCTTTGCTGGGTCTGCCTGTGCCGAAAAATAATCTGGGCGCCTTGATTCCGGCGTTTTTGCCGTTCTGGTCTGGTATGTAATCCTCTCTACCTTACTCATCTGTTATTAAGGAGATTTTTGTTAACAGTTTTGCAGAAGAGGACCAAGTCCAGCTCCTGATGCGAAATGCTCACCAGCTGCTGGACATTGTGCTCACTGCCTTTGGGGCAAAAAGCTCTGATGTAGACGCGGGTATACTAGAGCACTCAAACGCTGACTACCAGGATCTTGCCCGCGGTTGGCATGCTCTCGTTGCTCAGGTTGCCCAGTACAAGGACGCCGATGACACAGCTCGCGCTGAGCTGATCCAAACAATCACGAAGGTGAGCCGACCTCGAGTCAAATTCCCCTTTCGAACCAAATGCTGAACCAATCAACCCCAGTGGCTTCGCCTCGCCCAGCGCGTCTTAAGCAGCATGGCCAGCAACTACGACATTCCACGCATTTTCCTGGGCCTCTGCCTCGCTGTGTTCGCCCTCCTCATGGCGATTTTTTCGTCTTCCATTCTCACAGTATCTACCAACCTCCACCGCTCGCTCATCCCGCTCTTCCTCATCCTCACTACCTACGCCGCCATGATGTTTGCCAGCTCCTACATCGAAGAAGAGCACCACTTCTGGTACTGGTCGCTCACAGCCTGGTTCACCCATCTCGGCCTGCGCGCTTTCCGCACTGCAACCCCCTCTTCCCGCGCCAGAGCCGTTCTCCTAACTCTCACCCTCCTCCTGACCACCCGCGTCGTCCGCGCCTGGATCCAAACCGGCGTCAAGCACGCGGCAGCGCCGGACGTGGTCAAGACTTTTTTGCATACCAACCCGCCGCTGTTGTGGACGTTGGTTGGGATAACGTACGCCTGGACGCATCAGAACCTGGTGTATGGACTGAGCGGGGGTTTGCCGCCTTGGTTAGCGTTTGCGGTGGCGACGGGGTTGGTTTTGGCGGCGTTTACGTTTAAGGTTGCGTTCTGCTTGGAAGATGCGCCGGAGATGGTGACGGATTTTGTCAAGGGGCTGTTGAGGTTGGGGTTCAGTACGCCTGTGGACGGGACGGGGTTGGAGAGTATTGGGCTTGTGACGAGGGCGAGGGCGGTGTTTATTGGTTTGGCGGCGGGTGTTGTTTTGGTTGTTGGGTTTGTTCTGGCAAGGAGGAGGATAAGTTTGGATCAGAGCGGTACGTCTTCTTTCTCCTCCCCTCCCCCCTTTTTCTTTCTTTCTTTCTTTCTTGTAATTAAAGGATACTAACATCACCAGGAACATCCACCCTCCTCCCCTTCTACACCCTCCTCGCTCTCACCCAGTCCCGTCCCGGCACCATCCCGCTCTACATCCTCTTCAACCTGCAATACCGTCTTCTCTCCTCCCTCGCCTTTCCCTCGTCGTTTGGCTCCCTAGGCCTATCCCCCATCGAGCTGAGCATCACCCTGTTACTCCTCCAGCACGCGTCATTCTTTGCCACAGGCGGCTCCAACTCCGTTGCGTCGGTCGACCTCTCCAGCGCGTATAACGGTGTGGCAGCGTACAGCGCCCCTGTTGTGGGGGTGTTGACGTTTGTGAGTAACTGGGCGGCGGTGATATGGTGGTCTATTGCGGGAATTACGTTGTTGTTGGAGACGAGGGTGAGGCTTGCTCAGTCTCGGGTAAGGCCGGGGGCTGTTAAGGGGCAGGAGAACGGGGTCGAGAAGGTGAAGGGGATATTTAGAGGTCATGTCGCTGTAAGGACGGTGTTCGTGGCTGGTGCTGCGGCGGCGGTTATGGCGGCATGTACGCTGCTGAGAACACATTTATTTATCTGGACGGTGTTCTCGCCTAAGTATTTGTACACTGTGACGTGGAGCTTGGGACAACATTTGGTTGTAGATGTGGGAGTGGCTGGGTTGACGTACGCTCTGGGGGTTTGGGAGAGTCGCGTATAGCATGTTTTTGGTAGGTTGTCACTTTTTTTTTTACGAAGGCGTGTATATGAATATGGTACGTTAAGAGTTATCGGAGACAAGATCATAGGTACCATTCCCTAATGAAACCAAGAAACATATATAATATACCTCCGTACTAGTACGTAAAGCATCCTGATTGATTGATTGATTGATTGATTGAGTGATTGAGTGATTGATTGATTGACCGATTGAACACCTTCATTCACCCATCCCCAACCGTCCCATCCATACCCTAAAAACCCTCCCTCAACAACCTTACCCTACCCAACCCAAACAATACCTTTTCCCATTAAAAGTCATCATCCTCCTCCTGCTTAACCCTCCTGCCCGTCCCCACACTTCCCCTCACAACTGTCGCATCCGACGCCTCACTCTCACTATCATCCTCCTCCCTCTTAATCTGCACCGACCCCTCCCTACTCTGCGCCGCCGTCGTATCCGCCTGCAACTGCATCGCTAATTGCGTCTCCTCATCCACATTCTCCTCCTCCTCCTCCTCCTCCTCCTCCTCCTTCTCCTCCTTCTCTTCTTCTTCTTCTTCTTCTTCCTGCTCCTTTTCCTCCTCTTCCTCAATGGTACTGGCTGCCTTGCTCCCAGGCACGGCAGCAGACGCCGAGGCAGGACGGTCAGCATTCGTGGAGACGCTGCTCGCCCTGCTGATGCTCCTCCTCCCGGCTCCTGTCCCTGAGCCAGCCGAAACCGAACCCCTCGTGACCCGCCTGCCCGTAGCCGCGGTAGTAGTAGTACCGATGCCGGTACCGGTGCTCCCGGCGACAGAGGCCGTCTCGACGGAGGGGACCGCGCCGTCCAGGGCGTTGACGATTTTCCCAAGGCTGACGTGGATCTTGTACAAGGCGTTGCGGCTGGTGGTGTCCGGGAGGAGGTTGGTGTCGACGGCGGCGGAGACGACGCGGTAGGTTTCGCGGGTCTTGTCGGGGGAGGAAGCCGGGGAGATGTAGAGCTTGGAGAGGAGCGAGGCGAGGACTTTCTTTTCTTCTCCTGGATAGGGGAGTTAGCGGGAGCGTAATGAGGGGAGAAGGGGGGGAAGGGGAGAAGGGGGAAGACGTACGGGGAACGTTGCCCTCTAGGCGCTCCAGTATTGCCTTCGCAAAGTCAAGATGAACATCAGCGTTGACATGCTTCTCCGCCTGCAAACCGCCCGCATCAGGCGTATACACCTTTCTCGGATCGGTCCAATCCACGAGACACGCGCCAATCGTGGCCAGCGACACCATCTCATCATCAATATCCGCATCATCATCGTCGAACCCCTCCCTGACATTATACAGCGTATGCAGGGCATCCAGCGCCACGCGCCTCATCAAATCCTGATTCTCCGCCCTCGAATAACAAAACACAGGCAGGAAATAGTTCAGGGCCTGCCGCACGCTCTGGTTGCCCGCGCTCGCGGGCTCAAAGTACGCGACGACCAGCGTCTTGAGCAGCTCGGCGGCGACATCACGGTCGCTGACCACGCGGCCGAGCAAGAGCTTGGAGGCGGCGACGACGGCGACGGCCTGCAGCTCGGGATGTTTTGCTCCCGAGCGCAAGGCCTTGACGTACACTTTGAGCAAGGTCGGGTTGGCGGAGAGGAGCTGCGCGCCGTGCACGACGAGAATGTCGGTCAGGATGTGCAGGGCGGTGATCTGCAGCGCGGTGTGGCCTTTCGCGAAGAAGTGGATGAAGAGAGTGAGGTTTTCTTCGGCGAGGGAGCGGTCTAGCAGGGCGCAGAGACCGAGACAGACGAGGCCGCGCTCGCGGACGGGGGCTTCGTGGCTTCGCACGGCGGGGACAACCAGGTTGTTGAGCATGCTGATGAGGTTGTCGTTGGACTGTAGCTGGCCCTGAACATTCTGCAGCATGCACTGCACGATGTGCAGACACTTCATGTTGATCATGATCTCGCGGATGGCTTTAGCCGCCGCCTCCTCCTCCGTCATCTTGGGCGTCGGGCTGCGGCCTCGCTTGCGGCTGTTGCTGCCGCCGCCTTCGCCGCCGCCCGGCGCGGGCGTGCTCTCACGGCTGACTTCGGAACGTGCCGAGACGAAGCTCTCGTCGTCTTCGGCCGGCACGTTGGCGTCGTCGTCGTCTTCGTCGACGATGGTGTCGTGCACGTCGGCGACGGCTTCCAAGACGACGCTGGTGAACTCCTTTTCGCCGGCTGCGTCGGGGGCGCACAGGTCGCGGAGAACCATGACGGTGAGCTTGGTGCATTCCTCGGGGAGCTCGGGGATGGAGAGCGTCTGCCGGAGCAGGGCGAACATCTTGCGGCGGCCGACCTCGTCGGCGTAGTCGAGGGTTAGTGCGATGTGCAGGAGCTGTTCGACGATAAACTCCTGCTCGGCTGTGTCCTCTTCTTCCTCCTCGCCCTGTTCCTCGGCGCGCTTGATGGCGTCGATCAGCACCTTGATGTAGCGCTCCAGGTAGAAGGCTAGCTTAGTGACTTCGGGGAGTTTCTCCTCGATCAGGGCCTCGTACTTGCCGCCGGCCTCGTTGCGGCAGAAGTCATTGAAGGTGCGCAGAGCGAAGACAGACTCGGCGCTGAGCGTCTCGAAGAAGTGGTCGTCGAAGACCATGGCGTCGCGGTAGTCTGGACGACCCTCCCAGAAGCCGCGCATGGCCTCGAGCGCGATGCCGTTCTCGCCGCCCGAGTTAACAACATCAATACGCTCCAGCAGCTCAAGCAGCGCGTCCATATTCGGCGGCGACAGCTCGATCGGCTGGCCAGGTTCAGGGCGAGGGGTACCCGCGCAGTCCTCAATCCAGCGCTCGCGGAAGAGCCGGGCGGCAGCCTTGCGCACATTCTCATCACGATCGCGCAGGCCCCAGCGCAGCAGCTTCTCGCGCATCGACAGCGACAAATGTCTGAAATCGCCCAGAGCAGGCAGCAGGCGCGAGTAGACGGCGCGACGGGTAGCCGGATCCTGATCGCGCGCGCGCTCCAGCAGTGACGGCAGCGTCTTGGGCGTGATGGGCAGATTGACCAGCAGCGTGCGGCGCACGTCCGCGCTGGGGTCATTCTTCATCACGTCCATGAGCTTATCCATCAAGCTAACGCCGCTGGCGCCTCCCGGCCCGTCATCGTCACCATCCAGATCACTGTCGCCGGCGCCGGGCTCCTCGTCAAGCGCGTTCCCCGCCAGGCGGCCCAGGCCTAGCACCGCCTGAGCGCGGACCATGGGCTCCTTGTCGTGAATCCGCCGCAACAGGCCGGCGCGCAGCTTCTGGTAGAGGTCGTCATCAATGGCGTCGAGCGAGTTGACGATATGGGCGAGCAGCTGGGCAGCGCGGTAGCGCACAAACTTGTCCTTGGCCATGAGCATAGGCAGAATAGTCTCCATCAGATGGCTGGTCAGGCGCGTGCTGGGCGTTTCGGGCATGGTGCTGTTGTCGGCGTCATCCTCGTCCATCTGCGTGTCGCCCAGCAGCTCGTTGTCCTTCTCGATGGCGTGCCGCAGGAACAGGCTGACGAAGCGCACCGTCTTCTCGCCCACGCCCTCGCTCTTTTTCACGGGTAGTATGCGCAGCGCGCAGCGCACGAACTCGGTGTTGAAGTCATCTTCGTCGAATTCGGAGAGGGCGGCCGCAGCGCCCGACTGTTTTTGCCCGGTGGCGGGTTCGTAGCAGCAAGCTTCTTGGATCTTGCGCAGCGTGACTACCAGCTTGCGGTGCGAGGCTGTTGTACGCTGGGCCTCGCGGAACACGGTCGTTACCTGGGTGCGCAGCGCGTTGTCGGGCGTTTCCTCGGGGATGTCGATGGCCGACGAGGAGCGCGACGAGCGCGTGGACCTCGTGCGCGGGGGCATTTTGGTGTCTGTATCGGGATCACGTACTCAAGCGGTGGTCGAGTCGCATGGAATTAGGACGTGGGGCGTCAAAAGTCGAGTGATGTCTAGTCGTGATGCGGTGTGTCTGTCCGAAAAGGGACCAGACACTCGGTGATGGTACCTGGCGACAAGGCCTGTGATTTGATTTGATGGTGTTGTTTTGTTTACTCTGCAGAGTGGGGGCCGTGCACTGTTTTGGAGGAGGGGTCTGTCTCCGATAAGCTGATAAGCCCCTGGTTGATCTTATCTTATCTCCAGGGAATTTTTTGGATTTTTTTCTTTTTTCCCCTCCAGGCTTTTTTTTCTCTTTGTCGAGGGGAGCTCAGACCAAGCTCACCACCACGGTTTGCATCACCAATACCTCAACCACGTCACAGAACTTGCCAATGGCGCAGTCAAGCGACAAGAAGCGCCAGCGCGAGGCCGACGACGTTCCTGCCAACGGTAGCGACGTCAATGGCAACGACCAGACCCAGGACCACGGCGACAACCCGCCCGCAAAGAAGCCACGGACTGAGACCCGCCAGCTCTTCGTTCGCTCGCTGCCCCCGACCGCTACAAGCGAGAAGCTCACCGAGTTCTTCTCGCAATACTACCCCGTCAAGCATGCGACCGTCGTGCTGGACCCCAAGACCAAGGAGTCGCGCGGCTTCGGCTTCGTCGCCTTCACCGACCCGGACGACGCTCTCGAGGCCAAGGAGAAGCTGCAGAACTTCTACTTCGAAGGCCGCCACTTGAAGCTCGATATTGCCCACCCTCGCCACCGCAACCCGGAGAAATCGGGCGTCGAGGCCGTTACCAAGGCGATCGAGGAGAAACGCAAGCGCGAGCTCGAAAAGGAGCTGAAGAAGCAGCCGCCCAAGCTTATTATTCGCAACCTGCCATGGAGTATCAAGACGTCCGAGCAGTTGGCCAAGATCTTTGAGCCGTACGGCAAGGTTAAGTTCTCCGACCTGCCCAACAATAACGGCAAGCTGGCTGGTTTCGGTTTCGTCACTATGCGCCGCCGCAGGAACGCCCAGAAGGCTATTGATGCTGTCAATGGCACGGTTATTGACGGGCGTACCGTGGTTGTCGATTGGGCTGTGGACAAGCAGACATGGCAGAAGATCAATTCCGAGCTGCAGGCATCTGAGCAGAAGGAGAAGGAGGAGAGCAAGAGCAAGAAGGATAAGAAGGACGATGACGAGGATGACCCGAACATGAGTCAGGCCGACAAGGATTTGGCTGACTTCTTCAAGAATTTTGGCGAGAACCTGGAAAGCGAGGATGAAGATGAAGATGAAGAGAAGGATGACGAGGAGGACAGAGAAAAAGAAGAAGAAGAAAAAGATGATGATGATGATGAGGAAGAGGAGGAGGAGGAGGAGGAGGAGGAGGAGGACGATAACGACGACGATGAGAGCTCAGAGGGTAAGTCTGATGATGACGAGGATGAAGATTCATTCGACGAGAATGAATACTCAAACTCAGACGAAACCTCACCAGAAGAGGATTCCGACGCATCAGGCTCCGAAGAAGATGAAGAAGAAGAAAAGCACAAAAAACAACTAACGACGGACACCTCGACCACCATCTTCGTCCGCAACCTCCCCTATACCACCACCGACGAAACCCTTAAAGCCCACTTTACCCGCTTTGGCCCCGTCCGTTACGCCCGCGTCGTCATCGACAAGACAACCGACAAGCCCGCAGGCACAGGCTTCGTCTGCTTCCGCAACATCCAAGACTGCAAGGCCTGTATCCGCGGCGCACCCCGGCCCCAAGCCCCCGTCCTACTCAAAGCCAAACACTCCGTCCTCCAAGACGAGCTCGCCGACCCCACGGGCAACTACACCCTCGAAGGGCGCATCCTGTCCGTCGCGCAAGCCGTCTCAAAGGACGAAGCGCAGCGCCTAGCCGAGGAAAAGCCCAAGAAAAAGAAGGAGGACAAGCGCCGCTTGTTCCTCCTCTCCGAGGGCGTCATCACTCCCAAATCCCCCCTCTATAAACTCCTGACCCCGGCCGAGATCAAGATGCGCGAGGCAAGCCTCCGCCAGCGCAAGAAGCTGATCGAGTCGAACCCTGCTCTCCATCTCAGCCTGACGCGCCTGGCGGTCCGCAACATCCCAACCAACCTCACCTCCAAGGACCTCAAAGCCCTCGCCCGCCAAGCCATCGTCGGCTTCGCAAAGGACGTCAAAGAAGGCAAGCGCCAGCCCTTGTCCCAAGAGGAAATGACGCGCGGCGGCGACGCTGACCGCGAAGCGGAGCGGCGCCGCAAGGCAAAGGGCAAGGGCGTCGTCAAACAGGCCAAGATCGTCTTCGAGACGGCCAAGGACGGGTCGAAAGTCGACGAGAAGAAAGTCGCGAAATCAACGGGGGCGGCGGCGGGGATCCGGAGTCGTGGATACGGGTTCATCGAGTACTACTCGCACCGGCGGGCGCTGATGGGGCTGCGGTGGCTGAACGGGCACGCGTTGACAAACGAGAAGGGTAAGACACAGAGGCTGATTGTGGAGTTTGCGATCGAGAATGCCAATGTAGTGAAGAGGAGGCGGGAGAAGGAGGAGAAGATGAGGTTGGCGAGGGAGCAGAGACGGAGGGAGGGGAAAGTGGGGCCGGCAGAGAAAGACGAGAAACAAGAAGAGAAGAAGGGGAAGGCTGATGCTAAGGGTAAGGCGAAGGGTAAGGGGAAGAAGAAGGGTAAGGGCGCGAAGCAAGCTCAAGAAAAGAAGAAGAAGAAGGAGGAGGAGGAGGATAGCAATAAGCCGGTTGCTGGCAAAGATATACCCCCGACTAAGGAAGCCAAGAAGAAGGCCGACGCGAAGCTGGCCATGCGCACCAAGATTATTGCGCGGAAGCGCATGATGCGTAAGAAGAAGGCTGCTATGAGGACTGGGAAGAAATAAGGGTAGGGTAAAGTCCCAAGGTATAGATAAATGTGGGAACACCTCCTTGTAAGGGGGGGTGATGAAATACAGTTGGTGATTCGCTCTGTTGTCAGAACATATCTGTTACTCCATTGATCACACAGGAAAGGCTGGCCATGTGGTGGCCTCCATATATTGAGGGTGTTCCGATCTCGCTCATAAGGAGCAGCATACCCATCAATCCTGATACGACACAAAACTCTCTCATCACACCCCACAGACGCGCTCAGATTTTCCACGCCGAGGTATATTCGTCAAACATCAACCTTACAAAGCCTAACCTAGCCTCCCTAATCTAGCTTAGGCAACCTAACTCAAGAAAGCATCAAAACTCTACCTACGCCCACCATCCCACCATCCTCCCAATCTAGCCCACGTATCTACTCTCCCATTACCCCTTAGTTGCCATCCAGCCCTGCCTACCTTCCGCCCCCCTTCCCCTTCAACAATTCCAACAACCACTGCCCCACCGGTTTGCGATCCGCAGACGTCGCCACAACCCTCAGATACTCCCCCGCATGCGCCTCGCCGAGCCCCAGAGACGGGAACGTCACCTCCCTCACATGCCTAACAAACACATCTCCCGTCTTGGCGTACACCACCTGCTGTAAGCCAGCAATCTCATTCAGAATCTGCCTACTCTGCGCATCCGACCCAGGGCGGAAGGTCGGATCCTGGATGACGGCCCAGCACAGGGTATGGAACTGGTCAATCATGAAGCTATCAAATCCAGAGAACGCGGGCTGGGGCGCCGGCGTCGGGTTAGCAAGGTTGTTCTCCGGGCCGGGCGTGACGATGTCCGGGCCGCCCCACTGCACGGCCATGCGGGTGAGGACGTTGAGCGCGATGCGGGAGGGGACGAGGTTGCCGAAGGAGAGGGTCTTGGCGATGGTGATGATGGACTGGACGAGGGACTCAAAGATGGCTTGGTTGGCGGCCGAGACGAGGACGCCGGCGAGGTCGTTGAGGAAGATGACTTGGATGAAGGAGACGTATTCGCGGCGGAGTTCCTGCAGTTGGATCTCGTCGTCTGTGCCGCTGATGGGCTCGGAGAGACCGCTGAAGATGCGCTCGAGCAAGGGGGTTAGGAGGAGGTCGAGGATGTTGTAGATCTCGCCTTTGAAGTTGTAGACAACTTGTTCGAGGAGGCGGAGGAACATGGCCATTTCGTCCTTGGTCGAACTGCGCGAGAGCAGGCCCTCGATCCATTGCGGCAGTTGGGGCAGGACAGAAACGCCCAGAACGCCGAGCAGACGGGAGAAGGCGGACCGGCAGGCGGCACGGATCTCGCTGCTCGCATTGAGCTGGCTGAGAGCGATCAGGATGGCCTCAGCAGCACGCGAGAACTCGTTTGCAATCACCTGTGGGGGCTGTGGACGGGCCTTCTTCTCGACCGCGGCACCCTCCTTGTCCTTAGGTTGTTGCTGTTGTTGTTGCTGCTGCTGCTGCTGCTGCTGCTGCTGCTGCTGCGCAGCAATTGCCTCGCTGTAGCCGTTAGCCAAGGTACCCAGGGCCATCACGATATGATGAACCTGCAGGATAGCCTGAGCATCACCGGTCTTGGCCCTTTCTAGGTGCGCGCTCATGTCGTTAAAGAGGGGCTCCATGACAGAACGAGCGTACAGCGCTTGCTCCTCCGGCGGCGTAGCAGTGGTAGATGCGATGCAGCCAACAGCTTCATACAAGTTCAGCTGGCCGTTGAACACCGCGTCGGCCGAGTGATCGGACTCATCAGATGACATGTCATCATCGGCGTCGTTGCCAGGAACTTCAGCCTTGATGAGCAGGAGGTCGCTGATGGACTCGATAACCGTCTTTGCCACATTGCCGACCTGTGCCCGCAGCGTCTTGACGAAGCGCAGGAATAGATACCAAGACCTTGTCCGGACGCGAACATGGTCGTGGTGAACCAGCTGGATAAAGTTCTCGAGAACCCGCGGAATGTACTGTTGATGGCTCTCAAAGAAGTGGTAATACCGAGCGCAGATTTCCATGTACTGAAGGACGATCGCAGGATGGGGGTAGTTGGCGATGCCCGACTCGACCATCTTGCTCATCATGACAGCCAGCCTCTCGACAGCGAGGGTATTCGCCTGGCTCTTGGGGGCCAGACCCATATTGGGCAGCGCGAGCTCGCCAAACAGGTAGATCTCGTACAGCGCCAGGTCGAGGTCTCGCCAGTCCATGTTCGAACCCTGCTGCTCCAGCGTGCTAAACATGTTGGCCACCAGATTGCTCAGGTACTCGATGCACAGGTTCTCGTCGACCGAAGCCACACTCTTCTGCAGAATCTGCAGCTTCTTGCGCAGCTCCTGGAACTCGGCCTCGTCGGTCTGCTCGTCTTCAGCGCCCCAGTTGCTCGTCTCGTCGTACCGCATCTTGAGCACGATGGCGTTCAGGATAGACGGCAACATCTCTGAGTAGCTGGCAGGCAACGTGCCAACCTTGCGAAGGAATGTCAAGAGGTCGGTCAGCGAGGGGATGACGGTTGAGCACACTTCGTCGTACTCGTCCGAGAAGAGACGCAAAAGCGACGGGAGGAAGTCGCGCAGCAGCTGCTCAGCCTTTGCCCTTGCTTCCGTCTCGGCTTTGCCATCCTCCAGGACACGGACAACGTCGGTCATGATGGTGTTGACAAGCTTAGCTACGGCCTCGGCAAGATCGGTATCGTAGCGGGGCGTTCCTTTCCACTCGTTAAGCGGCGGGCTCGCCAGCAGCTGGGTGACGATCTCGCGGAGGTTCAGGAAGGAGATCATCTCGACCTTGTCATTGGGCTTCATCTTCTTGGCCACGATCTCCGTGAAACAGTCTACCGCCGCATCGCGGACCCGGTCTTCCTTGCCGGAGGCATTTAACCTCCCAACCAAAGGCAGCAAGAGGTTCATCATCTCCTCGTTGATAACAAGGTGAATGTCAATCCAGCTAACCCACTTGCCGATGATCTTGAGCGTCATCTCCAGCACGTTGTCATTCTTGCCGTTCCACCGCACCAGCAGCTCCTTCCAGGACTGCGCAATCTTGCGCATATCCCTCTCGCGGATCAGGTCCTTGAGCTCGGCATTGCGCTTGGCCTCGCTGTCGGGGCGGCTGAGCATCAGGTCGGCAATCTCATCGTGGATGGAGCCCAAGATGCGCAGGTACATGACCACGCCAGGCAGATTGTTCTCCTTGTTTGCAAGGGCCAGGAAGTCATCGATGAAGCTTGTCCAGCCCTCCTTATAGAGGAACACAAACATATAAGTCAAGGTTTGGGTAAGCTTGTTTTGAAGGTGCGCCGGGTCAGGTGAGTCCTGAGACTCGCCGCCATAGTTGCGCGCTATGTAGTCGAGCAGGGCCTGCTTGAGAAAGCTCAAGCCGTTGGCGTCCAGGACTTGCGACTGCACGGCATTGTTGATGATTTCTAGCGACACTAGCCGAGTAACCTCGGATGGGCGAGGAGTGCGGGTGAAGAGGGTAGTGCAGACCTGCCAGCCCTGGGGGTCGGCGCGGACCTGGTTAAGGTATTCGATGGCCTGGTTCTTGAGCGATGGTTCCGACGCAGGATTCGCGGCGATCTCGATCGCTTGCTCGATCTGTTATAACCCCAGACGCAGCACATGTCAGTTAATCGCACGCCGAGTTTGTTTTTATATAACAATATTTTTTTTTGGAGGGGCCCGGCGCTGGCGGGGCGGTATCCTGCTTTTTGTAGCGGGGCTAAGGCATTGGGCAGCGGGGAAGGCCATCATTGCTCACCTGAGCGTCCATTGCTGGACAATGACTAGGGTTTTTTTTTGGTCTATGAGCGAAATCGACAGCAACAAAAGGGAATGGCCTCGAATTATGTATGGTGTAGATGGTAATTTTTGTCTCGTCCTTTGGTGCAGCTGCAGGCGCTATATCGCGGGCAGCTCTATGGCAGTAGTGGACGTATTCTGCATTCTCAGATCTCGCAGCCTAGTTTATTCGAGTGTCCTTCACGCATGCATGCCTCGGCCCCAACTCAGGCAGCCCTCCTAATGATCTGCTTCCCGACTCTCTGGTGTTGCGCCAGTCGTTCAAACCGACGGCTTTTGACTGCGATTTCGAGTAAGCACGGCGGGGGAAAACTTCGTGACTAGTCGGCGTTAGAAGGCAGCAGCGTCAGGGATGTTTCGAGAGTGCGCGGTTTCGAGTCGATATTTTTGTTCAACTGACAAACTTTGACCGGAAAGCTTGCCGTTGGAACGTTGGATTTGTGACAAAGGCTTGCTGCTGGATGGAATGCTGCCGCTGTGGAACGAATCGACCAAGGTGGGGCACAGCACAATTCAAAAAAGTCAACCGTGGACTTCAGGCTCCGAGGCGCCATGATTCTGCCTGTGGTGGGGTTGCAACGCGCACGAGCCAGGCGCGTAACTTACCTTTCATCCTTACCTTACCATACATTTAAGCAGGCGTCTTGGGAGATGATGACACGGTGAGAGTCAAGACGAGAGAATGCAAGTGAAGTGAAAGCCGAACCTGAACCCTATTCTTCCGGTAAAAATCTGGATATCAACCAAAGGAATAACTTAATACATGTATGCCTCTCTGAGCACATCCCACCTTACCCGCCCGACTCGTCGAGTGCAGCAGCGCCCAGATTCATGGTTTATGGTTTAGACGCAGATATGAATCGTGCCGAACCCGAGCCGATTGTTGAGACAATCAGCAAACTGCGTGTAAGCAGTTCCAGGTCCCTTCAGCCTGGGCTAGGCTTCACAGTCACCTGTCCCCACTCTCATCCTATCTTAGCCCCGAAGAAAGCTCAGCGACCGGTTCAGCCGGTCTTCTTCTTCTTCTTGGGCCTCTCCTCCTCCTCCTCCTCCTCCTCCTCCTCCTCCTCTTCCTCATCCTCATCGTCGTCCACCACATCGTCATCCAAGTCATCATCATCCTCATCACTGCCAGACCCACTGCTCTCATGCTGGCTGTCATACTCCTCAGCGACTTCACTCTCCGACTCGGCTTGGAAGTCCTCGTCGACGCTCTCTTCGTCCTCATCAGCCGAGCCGCGGTCGGCCTTACCTCCAACGACATCCTCATCCGAGCTGGCCATGTCGTCGTCGCGCAGTGCAGCCGCCAGAAGATTAGCGTCCTCGTCGATCTCATTCTTAACCTTCAGGCCCTTCAGTTTGAAGAAGTCCTCCAACGCCTTCAGTTCTTCACGGTTAATGTTGCTGAACTGCGAGGAGCCCTGGCCGTTCTTCATGTGCACGGTGATATCGAACGTCGACAGCGTCGAGACGGCACCACCCACACGCGAGAACGTGACCGACTGTGTCTGCTCATACGAGATGTATGTCGCAGGCTTGGGCACAAACATGAAGGCCTTCTCCAAGCAGTAGAGGAAGCCTTCGCTGGCCTTGATCGAGCACTTGATGCCGTAGTGGCCACGGTGGCTGCGAACAGTATGTCAGTATGGATCAAAATAAGCCGAGGTAGGGGAGGCTCACGTTGTGAAATCCTTGGCCGGAGCCGTAACCTTCTTGTTGGCAAGACCTTTGAAGATGTACGTGACAACCTGGTGGGCGGGTTGCTCGTAATGGGCCTGCAGTCTGTCCTTGTACTTCCCATTGAGCTCCTCCTCGGACAGATTGAGGTCCAGGGTAACCTCCTCGTCCTGCTTGAACTGCATGACGATAAAGGGATACCTGGTCTGACCTTGGCGGAGTGGGGGATCCAGGCCAATGCAGAGCATGAAGTGCAGGTCGTCGGGCTTCGGAAGGACCATAAACTTCTTGATAGCTTCGTACTGGATCTTGTAGTCGTATGTCTTGCCACGCAGGCGGAAGGATGTGTCGTACATGTCGATATCGAACCGACCTCTGCGTTGCGTCAGCAGCCCAGTAAAAAAAAAAAAACGATATGCAGAAGACGTACCTTGGTGTGAGATGCAAGACATCCAGGAAGGTGGCGATAGTATCGCCAGCCGTCTCGCCGATCTCCGCCTTCTCAATGAGCGTATCATAGAACAGGGTAACGGCATTTTTTTCCTCCTCGTCGGCATCGCTGCCTGCCTCACCGCCCTCGGCCTCCTTACGCGTCGTCGTGCCGGGGATGTAGAACCGGATCTCGACGAGTTGGTCCCTGGACGCGGAGGCCTTCTTGCTCTTCACCTGTCCATTCTGGGAGCTCTTGCCGTGGTCGCCCGGGGCAAATTCGACGGCGATCTCATTGCGACCAGCCAGGTTAGTGTTGGCAATCTCGGAGTAGGGGATTTCGAAGGCGGGACGGTTCTGCACGTTGAAGGTGAGCTCGGCCTTGCCAAACTCTGCCTTGCCCCAGTTCCAGCCGCGCAACGAGTGTTCCTTATTCTCCAGGTTGGTGCTGTACCAGTTCTTGAAGATTTTGGCGAGCCGCTCGTAGTCCTGTCAAAGGGTCAGCGTTTCCCACGTGTCTCCGCACGCTGGGCAGCCATGCAACACTCACCTCTTGTTGGAAGCCATCCAGCTGGATGACGCCCGACGTCCGCTGGAGGATCTTGACTTCATATCCCCTGGCGGCCCTGCTCCATTGGGCGCCACCTATGTTGCTCACATCGAGAGTGAAGGTCTCGCCGCCGCCAACAGGCTTCCAGCCCAGGCCATTCTCAGCGAACCTGCACTTGCCCGGCTCCTTGGACAGGTCCAGGTAGATGTGGTCGAAGCTCTCACTAAAGTCGAGTTAGCTGACTGCTGGCAATGCGGCTTGCGCAGGAAGAAGTGGAGGTTGCAAAGCTGCAGAGCGCAGCGAGTGCTAAAGCTGTGTAGGGCTGGGCAAACAGAGGCGGCTGCGACGAACGAGGAAGGACTCACATAGCAGCCATGGTGGTGAGGCTGAAGCCCTAATATTGCTACTATTGTAATAATTATGGGCGGTCGCGATAGGTGTGTATATCGCGATCGGCTCTTATGATGGTGGTTCAAGAGGTTTGACACAAAGCTTTCCAAGAGGCACGCGCTCGAAAGAAAGATTGACTGGACGTGACGCGACGGGCTAAATTGGCTGGCTTGGCGGACAAGGCGCGTGTGGCGCGGCGACGCTGTGGCAACCGTTCCGTTAAATACGGCGTTACATACATTTTACGATGTAATTAGGTAGCGGTTGCTGGGCTGAAGGCATTCCTGACTCTCAACCCGAATAGTTATGTGGTAGATAAATATTCAGGAGATCGAAATATTTTTAGTAAATCTTAGTTCCGTACTTTCTATCGGTTCATGGTGCCTTTAAGTATTGCAAGCTAACTCCTGCAGGCGTGCAATTACTTTACGGCTCCCTGTACTCACGGGTAACGCTGCCCCTGATAGATGTAACTTTTTTTCTGGCTTGCCACTGGCAGCCAGCCTCATTCGACAGCTTTAAGAGACCGTAACCAGCCTGGCTTTCAAAGGAGTAGTCTTCGAGTCCTCTGTCCTTAGATTGCCTAATCAGCCTGCATGTTATTACTCATCATGGCCGGCTTCATGGCCTGATGTAGCCTCGCCTCGGATCCGTGGGATACATCTGCCAAGTTAACCGCTGTATCTCAAGCTCGAGTCATAGAATGCCGTGCGGTTGCGAGCCTATCCTTTCTAAACCAAGAACGGCCCGAAATCTAGACGGTTGGGAGAAAGGAATTCGTTATGTATATGTTCTACATCCAGCCGCAAATGCTGTACGGTTCTCCCGTAGGTCGAGCAGACAAAGGATCGGCAGAGCTGTTCGTTGGTCAAGGCGTGTTGGTAGGACATAGATTAACAATAAACCGTGGGATGCCTGGAAGTGAAGTCCCATGATATACCCAACGATAACCAACAGAACACCCTGCACAATTTTTGAGCAGGCTACGTTCTGGTAATTGTCCCACGGCCTTGCCAGGGAAGAGTGCTTTCCTTCTTCCTTCTTCATAAACACTCTCAAGGTGACCGGGCATCTTTCATCCCATCTCATCAGCACAGACCTCTCTGATTTTGATTTCTCAAAACAAAACTGCGATCCTCGGCCAATTTAAGAGCCTTCCTCAAACTAGGGACACTTTCCTTGCTCCTTTGTCTCACTCGCACTCGTTTGGACCACTTCCAAAACAACCTCAGCAATGCCTCCAGCTCCCATTCTCCAAAGCACCGCCGACTGGACGGGCCTCGATTATCTCCTCCACGGAGGCTGTCACTGCGGCCGCAACCGTTACATCGTCCAGCTCCCTAAGGACCCGGATATCCGCCGTCAAGCCCAAGTCATTATCCATCGTAAGCCCTTTACTCTCCCCCCCCCCTCCTCCTCCTTTCCCCCCAACACCACCTCCAACCTCTCACTTGAAGGCCCTCAACTCCTCCCACTTCACCTCAATCTAACCTCTTCCCTCTCATAGGCTCCTCTCCGCCATCCCTAACAGGCCTCCTCCCCCTCTACCTGCGTATCCCCTTAACCTGGTACCACAGCCAGACGATCCCGCTGCACTCCAACGAATCACCAACTCAGATCCGTGTCGTGTATGAGCCACCTGCCGTCACTCTCCAAGCAAACTCTCAACCTTTTGAGACTGGCACGACCACAACCACGACCGAAAAGCGCTACTTCTGCGGCTTCTGCGGCACGCCCCTCGCCTTCTGGCACGAATCCCCCGCCGACGAAGCCGACTACATCCAGCTCGCACTGGGGAGCCTCTCGCCGGGGGATTTAACTGATTTGGAGGAGTTGGGGCTCGTTCCTGATCTAGGTTCCAATCCAGCCTCTGGGGAGATTGATGCCTACGCCAGGGAGAACCCTGCTGAAGGGGACAAGGCCATCAAGAAAGGTAAGGGGTTGTCATGGCTGGACCAGTGGCTTGAGGAGAGTAGGTTTGGGACGTTGAGACGGGCAACTGGGGGTGAGGAAACGAGGACAGAGTCGGGGACGGTAAGGGTTGAGTGGGAGGTTATGGAGTGGGCTCCGGGAGAAGGGGAGGGAGAGTGGGGCGAGTGCTTAGGGAAGAGGAAGTTCCAGGAGGTTGAGGGTGGTGGTGGGCTTCAGGAGAGGCCGAGAGGGTAAATCAGGGGGATATGGAGAGCCACAAGCTAAGTCAAGTTATCGCCGGTTCATGGTGATTGTTGTTAGATAGCTGACTCCTTAAAGTCATGGCCAGGGAATCTGATTATCTCATTCCAAGGAGAAAGAGTTTGTAAGGTCCTGCCGGGAGCCATGAATAGGCTTGGGTGTCGGTATGTCCCAGTTAAGGTGACTAATAAGATCTTATGTAATGTTGCTTGAATCAACCAGCCAGCCCTGACGTCTCAAGTGACTTCATTCACATGCTCACCTCATCTCTCTGAGTGCCAGCCCACCACACACCAGAACCCCGAACCTCGTCCTTCACACTGATATGGAACCATGCCTAACCTCCGATCCCACTCCGTTGACACTGCGTACCGGCCCATCCCGGACACGGCATCGTCGTAGCCCCTTCCCGCACACAGCATAAAAATTTACAAATCCCTCATCTCCACAACACCCCATCCACACCACCTTCGGCACAATCAAACCATATTTTAAAGTCCCTGCGAATCTTACAACCTCAACAACCAGCGAACAAAAGCTGCGTGGCGCAGCGGAAGCGCGCCGGGCTCATAACCCGGAGGTCACTCGATCGAAACGAGTCGCAGCTAGTTGGTTTGTTTTTGCACATACATCATGCCTTTCGCTATATGCTTCCTTTTCGTAGGTCCCTTCTTTTTGGTGTTTCGAAGGAAAGCGATATCTATTGTCAAAAGGAACCAAGTAAACGTTACTTACGGGCTTTCTATGGTAATATCTCTGTTGGATACATCCAGATGGGAGCAAAAAGGTTCAACAGCCACGATGTTTAAAAAAAAGACTGACTAGCTGCGACTCGTTTCGATCGAGTGACCTCCGGGTTATGAGCCCGGCGCGCTTCCGCTGCGCCACGCAGCTTCTATTCGTGGATGGCAGGAAAGGGGAGTTCGAGGCCCGATAATAGGGGTCGATTCCCTTCCCTGCATTTTATTGATATTAACCAAAGGCATATCACAAAATCCACGATTGTTTCAAGGCTTGAAAGCCAAATATATAATGCAATTGATACATGTATTTTTTTTTTACACCCGCCTCTGCCCAATCCCCCAGCTAGGTTAGCAACCAAACAACCCAGGTCAGAAACACCCTAAAACCAACCACCATGAGGTATCAACAATCAAATAAAAAAAAAAAAAAAAAGAAAGACCCTTAAAATAAGACCCTCAACCAAGGATAGTAAAAATCCCACATCATGATGCTCGCTCCGAACCAAGCAATCAGCCTTTTCCAAAACACCCCTGAACCTAATCCCAAACCCCTACCCGTCTGATTTACTCCAAAGCAAACTCCTTCGGCGTGCCTTTCTTCGCCCACTCGCGCAGCACGTTTTTCTTGATCTTGCCCGTGCTCGTCTTGGGCAACTCACGCACAAACTCGACCTCGCGGGGCACCATGAACTTGCTGATGTTGCTCTGGTTCTTGGCCCAGTCGATGATGTCCTTCGGGCGCAAATTCTTGGCGTGGCCCTCCTTGATGGTCACGTAGGCCTTGGGCCGCTCGCCCCAGTGCGAGTCGGGGACGGCGACAACGCCGGCCTCCAGGATGTCCGGGTGCTCCGCGAGCATGGACTCGAGGGCCACAGAGGAGATGTTCTCGCCGCCTGGGTGAGGTTAGCCTTCATTCACATGACAGCATAGAAAGTGAGAGTGAACGTACCAGAAATAATAATATCCTTCGCCCGATCCTGAATCTGGATGCTCCCATCCGGATGCCAAACGGCCAGATCGCCCGAGTGCAGCACACCGCCCTCGAATAGCTTCCTCGTCGCCTCCGGATCCTTATAGTACCCCTTGCAGCAGATATTCCCTTGGAATACGATCTCGCCAATCTCCTTGCCGTTGCGCTCCACGTCCACGACCACGCCCTCCGGTTGATCCGTCTTGATCACCCGCACCGGCAGGCTGGTCAAGAAACCCCAGCCCTGGCGCGCCATGTTGGCAAAGCGCTCATGGCCGGGAAGACGCTCCCACTCCGGCAGGATATAGCCACGGGTAATGGGTCCATAAGTCTCAGTCATGCCGTAGACGTGGACAGGCAGTAGATTAAGCTTAGTCATCTGCTCAAAGAGCGCGGGGGTCGGGGGGCTAGCGGCGACGGTGACGCGGACGGGATGGGGCAGCGGCTCCGCGTCCTTGTGGTTGCACAGGAGCGTGTTGACCGTAGGAGCCGCGTTGAAATGGGTGATGCCCTCCTGCTTGAGCAGGCGCCAGATCAGGGGATAATCAATCTTGCGCAGGCAGACGTGGGTGCCGCGAACGGCGCAGACGGACCAGGGGAAGGTCCAGCCGACGGCATGGAACATGGGCAGGGTCCAGAGGTAGCGGCAGCGGCGGTCGGGGAGGTTGAGGCCAGACTCGACAATGTTAGCGAGAGCGGCAAGATAAGCGCCACGGTGGGTGTACATGACGCCCTTGGGCTTGGAGGTGGTGCCCGAGGTGAAGGGGATGGCGAGGAGGTCGTCCTCGTTCGCGACGCGCTGGGAGACGAGGTCCGCCCAGCCCTTGTTGCCCGTCTCTTGGTCGTACTTCAGGCCCTCCAGGACGGCCTCGTCGTAGGGGCCGCAGAGGGCGCCTTCTGTCGCATCGGTATCCTGGTATCTAGTTAGCAAAATCCCGTTCGTCCCCCGTTTATTTTTATTTTATTTTCTCTTTTTTTTTTTTTTTAGCTCAATGAGGGGCGACATACCAGATCAACAATGATCCTCACAGTCGGGTTAGCTGCCCGGAACTTCTGCAGCAGCCCCTCAAACTCCTTATCGACGATAATCGAATCCACCTCGGCAAACTCAAAAATGTACTTGACATCCTCCTGCTTGAGACGGTAGTTCACAGGCACAATAACACCGCCAGCAGCCACGATACCGTAAATGCTCTCCAGGAAAGCCGGCGTATTCGGCGCGAGGATGCCGACGCGCTTGAGGTTGTGCTTGCGCAGGAAGTAGGCCAGGCCCCGCGCGCGGTCGGCCACCTCCTGGTAGTTGCGGCGCAGGATGCGGCCGTTCGCCGTCACATGGTAGACGGCCTCGGCATTGGGCTCGATGGAGGCCGCGCGCTCGAGGAAGTAAGTAGGGGAGAGGTGCGAGAAGTGGTAGGGCGCGTGGTCCGCGTAGGGCGACGGCTGCGGCAGCAGATGGCCCAGGACGTTGCGCAGGCGGGATGGAGGACCGGACATTTTGTGTGATGTTTAAAAGAGTGTTTTTTTTAAAAAAAAAAAAACAAAAAAGTTGGTTGGCGTTAAGAGTGACGCTAATCGATCGTCAAGAGCGACCACGAGCGAATTGATTAAAATGGTTTGTGCAAAGAGAGTGCTTCTATGATAAATCAACCAGACCAGCGCGGTTGAATGGAAGCCAGTCAAGAGTGAATGCCGGAGTTCCACGCAATGCGGAGCGTATGTGCAACGTAGTCCAGGTCGGCAGAGGTCAGTTCCCGTATATAAGGGCGAGGGGGGCGACGTAGAGGAGGCAAAGAGGCAAGACAAGAGATCGATTGGTGGTGAGAAGGATAGCAGGCCCGAAAGAGATCGGACGGAAACAGGAGGTAGAGGGATGGAAGATGGGAGGAAAGAACTCGTGTCTCAGACAGGAACACCCCGAGCAAAAACACAGAACTCAGGCTCAGGACTCAAGAGAGGAGCCGGGGGCAACTTGTAAGGTTGAGAAGAAAAAAAAGTTGGTATATATACTCGGGCAGCTCCAGGAGTCCAGGCCAGGAACAATGGCACAATGGAACCTGGGATGCATCAGGCCAGGTTGCCAGGGCCGATCCGGTCAGCTGAATAGCATGTACCTCTGTATCTGTTCTCCTGGCTTTAGAAGCGAACAGCGAGCAGCGCGAGGTGGTTGCCGTGGCCATGCTGGCACCCATTGTGTACTCCGTCCACTGGTCTCCAGGCATGTCCAACCACACGCCTTCGTTAGCCTGCTTCCAGCCGTCCGAGACTCCATCTCCAATTCCTCGGCGATCGACCCCAGGCCAAGACCCCAGGATCCGACTCGCACTGCAACGCCCCCGCTACACCCCGTCTGGGCATGGGCGGTGGCATGCATCGATGTATGTTCTTTTGGCTGTTATAGCATAAAGTTTGAGGTTCTGGAAAGTCTCTGTGACAGAAATGTGAAGGATATATAACCCAGCTTTAAGCCAGCAAATCCTGAAAATTTCAAATCCTCTCCCAAAAAAAAAAAATATATCAAGCCTAGCGCAAATTCTCATCCAACGCGTCTCTGCTCGGCTCGTGACGGCAACCATCTCGATCCCACTCCACTCCACGTTTTTCTGTGCTCTCCTCCATGACCGTGCCCTGATGAAACCCCCCGACCCCGCACAAACCTGACTGGCCCAATGAGCACACTCTAACCTTATCTGGCTTAGAAAAGACCCACCACCGAGCCTTACCCCACACTGGGGTCTCCAAACGCCAAGAACGCACGCGTTCACGCAAAATAGGATTTGGCATTTGTGGCGCCGACTGGCGAAGGATCTGAAGGAGGTAAAAAGAGGTTATGGGTCTGGGGACGACCGGCCATTCCTTTTTCCCGATCCCCCCACCAACCAACACCTACCTACCCAACCCAACACATGTGGGAACATGTCGTAATGGAAAGATGTTGGAGATGCCATCCATGATCCAGACGCGATGGATGGAACGACATCACAGCAAAAAGCATTCCACGAGAAGTCCAGAAATGAGAATGTCAAATGCCGATAGTATTCATAAAGCTTGTCGTTACCCATCATGACGTGACATTTCCTTGTCAAGTTGTCTCCCTTCTTCCTCGATTTCTCCCTTTCCCCCTTTCCAATCTTCTAGAACACTGCTTATCAGCGAGCCATTTGTTTTTCTCCCGGGATGTTAAGAGGTCAACAAGAAAACAAAAGGAGGGGCGGAGGGGGGGG